GAGATTCGGACATGTCTTCCCCATTCCTTGCCCTGTCCCGTTCTGTTCGCCCGAAGGCCTCCACAGACCCTCTGGGCGAACAGAATGGGACATGGCGAACAAACCCTCCCGTTGGCGGTGATGCGACTGGATCGCACCATCAAGGCGCGCCCGGAGGTGATGGCCGACCCAACAGCGGTTTCTCTTAAGAGTTCACTGGATTTCAAATTTTCTTGAAGCTCTCTTGGGCCCTCCCTGTAGATCCTTGCGAGCCTCCCCGGCGCTTTCGGTGGCTTTCCCCGATGGCCTCCCGAGCCCTTCCCCGAGCGCTCCTGAGACGCCTCAGATGGGCTTCGACTTCGACGCACATCCCCGAGAGACTTCGAAACTGTCCTCAATAGGAGGGGGGTGAACGAGCAGTGCGCTGGGCCAAGCTGCTGGAGCGCTGCAAGAGCTCGGACACGAAGGCGCGGTCTCGCTGCCGCCGCCCGAGCCGCCGCCGTGTTTGTAGATTTTCGGTACAATCTGCGCCGTTCCTCCGAGAACCATTCCAGAAAGATGTCGTGGACGGAGTCCACGGGTCAGCCCTAGTCAGCTACAATGCTGGGATCAGCGCGTGTGGGAGGGGTGAGCAGTGGCAGTGGGCGCTGGCGCTGCTGAGCGAGATGTAGGAGGCCCAGGAGGCGCCCAAGACGACCCAAGATGGCCCGGAGATGGCCCACTAGAGCCCAAGCATCCGAAGACGGTCCCAAGATCGCTCTCAGAGAACCCGACGAGGCCCCCCAACGGATGCTACAACGCACCCTCCTGTTGTAGAATCCGACGGGTCCTTTCTGGGGGCCCTCTTGGGGCCGTCTTCGGGCCCTCTCGAGCCCCTCTCGGGCAATTTTCCAAGTCCTCCGGGTGCTCGCAGAATCTCCTGCAAGGCTACAAGACGGCCCGAGAGAGCGTCAAGACAGCTCAGGGAAACCTTCAAGTCGGCCCAGAGATGACCCCGCCTCGTTCCCGTGTCAGGGTACCCGCGGATTTGCTCCACGGGTACACGATATCAGCTACAGCGCTGGGATCAGCGCGTGCGAGAAGTGCGGGCGGTGGCAGCGTGCTTTGGCGCTGCTCAGCGAGATGCGGGATTTTAAGTTGGAGCCCGAGATCATCAGCTACAGCGCTGGGATTAGCGCGTGCGAGAAGAGTAAGCAGTGGCATTGGGCGCTGGCGCTGCTCAGCGAGATGCCAGAGGCAAAGCTGGAGCCCGATGTTCTCAGCTACAGCGCTGGGATCGACGCGTGCGGGAAGAGCGGGCAGTGGCAGCGGGCTTTGGTGCTATTCAATGGGATGTCGGATGCCAAGGTGGATCCTGACGTCATCACCTTCAACAGATGCAACGCCGCGCTCAGTGCGTGCGAGGAGGGCGAGCAGTGGCGGTGGGCTTTGAGGCTGCTCTCAGAGATGCCAGAAATGGTATTGGAGCCCAGCGCTTGCAGCTACACTGTCGCAATTACTGCCCTCTTGCGCAAGGGATGCTTGCAGTCTAGGGAGAACGCAGGCCAGGGTATATCATCCCCCTCGTCCTCATCATCACCCATTTCTCCTTGTGAGGATAATGCGGACCGGTAGCACCGTCAAACTGAGGAGCTGCATTGAAGCGCAATTGCAGACCTGTGAGGGCAGACGCCCACATCTCACCTGTGTGAAACCTCTGCCGATGCACGGCGCAGCAGACAAGGAGATGTTTTGAGTACCAGCTTGAGAACAGACGGCAGGCAGATGACCGACAACAAAGAAAACCGTGGAGGACCCATGGGATAGACACGAACTCGGAGGTCTACAAGAGACGATTTAGGGTTTCTCCCACAGGATCAAGCGAGTACGCAAGACCCACAACTCCAGCCGCAATCTAGTGACCAAGTAACTTTTGCTTTAAGAACAACCAACGCGTTCCAGAACCTACCTGGATAATTAGGGAAATCTCTTCCTGAGCGAAGCAAGCACACCTTTCTGAGCGAAGCAAGCAGCGCCTCGGAGAGTACTTCCTCTTGGAATTTCCATCGCTTCCTGGAAGCACGGGTGCCAATTCATGGCTCTGACATCCTCCTTGGCCTTTGCCACCCCGTCGGCGCAGAGGTGCTGCTCAGCGACGAGCGCTGCGCCCGCCTCCGAGAGACGAGCGGCGAGAACCCCCTTAGCGATATCCGAACAGCTTGTTACATTACAGTCGGGTCCCTGAAGAAGGAACCCTTTTCGTTGGGGAGGGGCTCCGTGTTCCTCCATTGTTTCACAGCTTGCCTCAGGCGTTCCTTATGTTTTCGTCGGGAAATCGAAGATCAACTTGTGGTAAAAAGGGGCCTCGTTCCTTATTTAGGGTTCCTTAGGTCAACGCCCCGACTGTAGCAATCAGGAGCCCCGGATCAGACGATCGCCCGCGGTCGCGCACGTGAGCGGTGTGCGACTGCATGCTGACGACTCTGCGCCTGGCCGGCTCCACCAGCGGGCGCCTCTGGAGTGGCAGTGAGCTGGGCGGCCGCCGCTTGTTAAAAGGCGGCAGCATATATATATATATATATATATATATATATATATATATATATTTATACATATATATATATATATGTATGTGCGTTCTTGTGTTGTGCAGCGCACCTGGCCATCTTGGCGGCACGCCGCACAGCCTGCTTGCTGACCAGCTCTCCGCATCCCTGCGAGGTAGGACCATCCAGCCCGCCTTCGGCAGCACACTTGCGCAACTTTAACTCCGTTGGCTCCTTCTCCTCCTCCTCCTCCTCCTCCTCCTCCTCTTTCTCCTCTTTCTCCTCTTCTCCCTCCTCCTCCTCCTCCTCTTCCTTCTCCTCTTCTCCCTCCTCCTACTCCTTCCATGGGCTCTCCAAGCTCGGTCTCAGGAAGATGAGCGTCGCCAGCATCGCCGCCAGCATCGGGCATGTCCAGCCCGTCCTCGGCGCGCTGTGAGATGGCGACGCTCCGCGTCCCCTGCCATTGGGCGTCCGAGAGGCTGGAGCGCCGCACGAGCTTCTCGAGACCCGCCTCCTCGACCTCGTGGAGGCTGTCCTGGACCCGCTGCCAGTCGAGGCCTCCGAGGTCGGCGAGGCCAGGCACGGGTGGGCACTGGTGGGGGTGCGCCAGGCGCCGCGGCTGCCGGGGGAGGCTCCTCGGCGGCGCGTTGGCGCTGCGGTCGTCGCGGGCCTGCAGCGCCTGCGCCCCGACCCCCGCGTGGCCGCCGCCGCGACCGACCCCGGAGGCCACGCCGGCCGCCTCTCGCGCGCCTCCTGGGCCGCACGGTGCCCGGCCTCCTCCTCAGCACGAACGGCAGCGCGGACTTCCGCTTCGTTGAAGCCGTCCTCGTCCTCTACAGCCTTCTTGACCTCCGCGGGGACTGTGCATGGCCGCTCCGTAGCTTCGGTATGGGCTCGTTCAGCACGTTCTGATGCCTCACGACACTTGCAAGTTGCTGCAAGCTTGGTCTTAACCTCGCCCTGCGCCACGCGCTTCTTCTTGGTCGCCGTCTCCACCGCCTTCGCCAGAAGAGTACGTTGGGCAGCAACTTTCTTGTCCATCTCAGATGCCGTAGCTGGAGGACGTGCCTCGACCGTCTTGTGAACGACGTCCGCCACGGCGGTCTCGATCACGCCCACCATTGAGGGGACCTTCGTGGCCAGCACCCGCAACTGCTGAGCCAGAACAGCAACGTCGTCATCACGAGCAGGGTTGCACAAGGCTCATAACCACGATGTGCACCACCGCACTTGCTGCACTCCCAGTTGCCATGATTATCATACTCCCAGTGGCCACATGCTGAGCACACCGAGTACTACTGACGACGCTGGGCACGACGCTGGCCGCATCCGCCCCCGCCATCAGACCACGAACGCGTCTTGTGCCAGGGCGCCACACGGCGCCACGACACGCCATGAACTTGCTCCTGCAGGAGCACTCTGGGCCGATCACGAGTAAACAGCCCAGCGTCAGTTGCATTAGGGATCAAGGACTGCCGCGGGTCAGCGATCTCCGTGCCCTGCCACGGGCAAACAGCATCTTGAGCCAAAATGGCTACGGAGGCGTTGGGATGAGGAGGAGGAGGACGATGAGGAGGGGAACAAGGATGGCACGGAGAAGCGAGGAGGAGGAGAAAGAGGAGGAGGAGGAGGAGGAGGAGGAGGAGGAGGAGGAGGAGGAGGAGGAGGAGGAGGAGGAGCAAGAGGAGGAAGAGGAGATGGTGGAGGTGGAGGAGGAGGATTACGGGCTTACGCCGCCTGACGTATGTAGCCATATGATAGCGAAGGAAAAGGCACGCACCTGACCTTGAAGCCGCACGAGGCACTGTTGAACACGATGCGCACAAGCAATTCCACGACCGCAGGACTTATGCAACGCCAGATCCCTCCAATGTAATGTCATGCATGCCACCACCCACAATCAACAGAGAACGTGGTTCATCTCTGCTTACACATCGCTGCACCACCATAAGGATGGTACGACGGCTTAGGAACGACTTCTACCTTGTTGGTAGTACAGAATTCCCTCATGTTGCCCGACTCCTTCTCGCACGTGAGGTTGACCACCAGAGTTCGATTAACACACTGAAAGATGGACAACAACCGTGAGGGAATGATCGGGCAACAGCGCACCCCCTATCGAGGTGGACCGCCGTTCTATTCCAACAGTTCCGCCGAGTGATACCCACGCAGCAAGACCGCACGCGTACACCACCATCCGAACAGCACGACTGAAGCGCCGGGCAATCCACTCACGCCCAGGCGCCGGGGAGGTGGGCTTCATGGGCCATTGCTGCCTGCGTGCCCCTCACCGAACCCGCCGCTTGGGATGGAGCCTACTGAGGGCCCCCAGGGAATGTCACACCAAACACGCGAAGCAAGCAAGTTGTGCAGATGTGGCAGAGCAGGCGGAAATACAACACGTGCAACACTAATTAACGGCAGTGGTAAGTATACCAGAGTGCCTGATCACAGAACACGGGCTGGATATTGTACTTCAGTTCGCCCATTCTTGGCATCCCACACCGGTCAACCCGGAGGAATGAGAACATCACCATGGATGATAATTTTGTGGGAGCCCCCCTGGCGCCATGCGAAGGCAATGGGCTGAGCGCCCAGCGGCTAGGCCGAGTCCAAAGTGGTACGATGCCTTGGGCTACTTGTGCTTGAAAGGATGAGGAGGATGAGGAGGAGGAAGAGGAGGAGGAAGAGGAGGAGGAGGAGGAGGGTGGGAGGGGAAAGGGGAGGAGGATAAAGAGGAGGAGGAGAAGGAGGAGGGGTAGGGGTAGGGCGATGCTTCTGGTGATGGTGATGCTGGTGGTGGCGTGGTGATGGTGCTGGTGGTAGTAATGATGATCTGATGTTGTGGCTGACGATTGTTATGACGATGCTGTAATGTTATGATGGTCATGGCGATTATGTTGATGTTCGTGTTGATGATGCTAATTGTGTTGCGGTGATGGTGATTGTGATCGTGGTGGTTGTGATGCTGGTGACCATGGTAGTGCTGCTTCTGATGCAGAGGATGATGATGGTGATGATGATCATGGTGCTGATGTTGCTGATGATTACGAGGATGATGCTGCTGATGATGATGATGCTGATGTTGATGGTGGTGATGATGGTGTTGATGGTAGTGATGATGAGAAGGCGTCAACGGATGTTGGCCAGCGTGGGCCCAAAGGAGTGAGTTTCCAGCAGTACACGCGGTGCTACCAATGTTCTGCAAATTCTGTGGTGCACTCAATATGAAGCTGTGTGATGCAATCTATATGGTGCAATTTATGTGTTGCATCATAGGTTGTGCAATCTATGTTGTGCGTCCTGCGTTGTGCGATTCATGTTGTGCAGCCTAACTGAGGTCTTCCACATGGTACAACTCATCTAGGGCAATCTAAGTCGTGGATGTATGTGATGCAAGCGATGTGGTGCACTCTATGTGGTGCAACTGATTTTTACCCATGGTTTGACACATCCCATGCTCTTGCGAACATCCCACCGACCCACCCGCAACTTGGTTTGCAAAACCTCTTGAGACCGTGACGGTAGCTACCAAATGGCACTTGGCAACGGCACCGACGCCGACGACGACAGCGACTTCGACGGCGACGACGACGCCGACGACTACGACGACACCGACGACGTCTCCGACGACTTCGACGACGACGACGGCAACGACGACGACGACGACACCGACGACGACGACGACGCCGACGACGACGATGACGACGCAGACGACGAGGACGACGCCGACGACGACGACGTCGACGACAACGACGACGACGACACCGACGACGATGACGACGACGGCGGCGACGACGACGACGCCGACGTCGACGACGACGACGACGACAACGATGACAACGACGAGGGAGGAGGGAGGACGGCGACGACGCGAACGACGAAGAAGGAGGAAGGACGGCGACGCCGACGACGACAACGACGAGCGAGGAGGGAAGACGACGACGACAACGACGACGACGACGACGACGACGACGGCGACGAAATAGGAGGGACGACGACGAGACGCCGACGACGGACGACGACGACGAGGGAGGAGGAAGAAGGATGACCACGGCGACAACGATGACGGAAACGACCACGACGCCAAAGAGGACGACGACGACGAACTCGAGGAAAGACAGAGGACGACGCAGGCGACGACGACGACGCGGGAGGAGGGAGGACGGCGACGACGACGACGACGACGACGACGACGACGACGACGACTCAAGAGCGCGCGCGCACGCTTTTGTTGAAAATCCGTGTTGCGAAACCTTGTGTTTTTGTAGGTTTGTTGGACACGCGATTTTGAAATCCTTCCGAAACCGATGGGTTTCGAAGGATTTCGGCATACGCGCGCGACGACGCGCGCGTGTGCACTTCGTTTTTTTACAGAGGATTCTCGCGATGGCACACGCGCAAGGGCGTTCGACAGATTTCGACATGCGCGCGCGCGAAGCCCGTTTGGTAGCATTTTGTGAAAATCTTGAAAAGCCTATGGTTTTCTTAGGATTTTGCAAGAGCTCGCGCGTAAGCTTTTTTAGCAAATCAGTGTTGTGAAACCCTAGGTTTTTGCATGTTTTTGGAAACTCGATTTTGACATCCTTCCGAAACCGAAGGTTTTCGAAGGATTTCGGCATGCGCGCGACGACGCGCGCGTGTGCACTTCGTCAATTTTTTTGCAAGGGATTCGTGAACAAGTGTTTGTAAGAGCAAACAATGTCCCCGCGTATCGTTTTTTACGAGGGAACCTCAGGGGGGTCGATTTCGACCCCTCACGCATAGTGTAAATTCTTATTTAGGATGGACATTGGTCAGAATAATATTTGATTTACATGCCCGGAAGGGGGGGATAACGCTGGGGGGGGGGAGAGTCTATTTTCTTTTTGGAAAGGAGAATTCAGTTTGACTGTCTTGAGGTTGTCCTCTCCACTGCTCGTGCAAACATCCAACCTTCCCACCCGCAACTTGGTCGCAAGACCTCTTAAGACCGTGACGGTAGGTACCAAATTGCACCTGGCACCGACACCGACGCCGATGACGACAGCGACAACGACGCCGATGACGACGCCGACGACGATTACGACGACACCGACGACGACTCCGACGACTTCGACGACGACGACGACGACAACGACGACGACGACACCGACGACGACGACGACGACAACGACGCCAATGAAGACGACGACGACGCCGACGATGACGACGACGACAACGACGCCGCCGACGACGACGACGACGAAGACGGCGACGACGACGTCGCCAACGAAGACGACGACGACGAGGGAGGAGGGAGGACGACGACGGTGACAACGACGACAACGACGAGGGAGGAGGGAGGACGGCGACAACGCGAACGACGAAGAAGGAGGAAGGACGGTGACGCCGACGACGACAACGACGAGAGAGGAGGGAAGACGACGACGACAACGACGACGACGGCGACGAAATAGGACGGACGACGAGACGCCGACGACGGACGACGACGACGACGAGGGAGGAGGAAGGACGACCACGGCGACAACGACGACGGAAGCGACCACGACGCCAAAGAGGACTGCGACGACGACGGCGACGACGAGGACGACGGAGGAGGGAGGACGGCGACGACGCAAGAGCGCGCGTGCACGCTTTTGTTGGGCATCCGTGTTGCGAAACCCTGTGTTTGTGTATGTTTTTTGGACACTCGATTTTGACATCTCTCCGAAACAGATGATTTTGGAAGGGTTTCGGCATGCGTGCGCCACGACGCGCGCGCGTGCACTTCCTTTAACTTTTTGCAAAGGGTCCTCGCGACGGCACGCGCGCAAGGGCGTTCGAGCAATTTCGACGTGCGCGCGCGCGAAGCCCGTTTGGTATCATGTGTTGAAAATATTGAAAAGCTTATGGTTTTCTTAAGAAGAGCACGCGCGTAAGCTTTTTTAGACAATCAGTGTTGCGAAACCGTAGGTTTTTGCATGTTTTTTGGAAACTCGATTTTGACATCCTTCCGAAGCCGAAGGTTTTTGAAGGATTCTTGCATGCGCGCGCGACGACGCGCGCGTGTGCACTTCGTCCCATTTTTTAGAAAGGATTATTGAAAACTTTTGGTTTTTGATAAACGAGTGTGCGCGCATAGTATTTTGTGCAGAGGATGGCGGGGGGGG